AAAGAATTTCTGCATCACAATGTGTCACATTTTCAAATTATTCTTGTGTTGCCAAATTATCCTCTAGATTAAAAAGTGGAAACATTTTGCAGGCCCACCTACCATGCATAAATGTCCTATTCTGCCTACACCCTGACCTACATGGGATATTACCACTTTTAATATTCCTGCCTGATGAATAGCTGAGAAATAGCATTATAGTGCTCTTTTAATTTGTAGGGTTTTTCTTCTTTATCACAGTAAACACATGTCTCACGTTTCAGGGCTCTGAGCATTCCTTCTTCAGTTAACCACTCACTTCTTCATGTCCTCAGCCTGGTTTTCTCTTATGGGGCTCCATATTATCTTATTGATTTTAGAAAGCTCTTTAGCTATCTTAACTACACTAATGCTATTGTTATCTTATGTCAGATATTTCCTTTAGTTTGACCTTCCCCCTTTAAAATCTCTAATGTTGATTTTTGTCTTCCAGGAAGTTTACATTTTTAATATGGTCAAAGCCATCCATCTTTTCCTTTATGTTTTATGCCTCTAGTTTAATGCTTAAAGCACCTACTCTATCCCCAAAGCGTAGAAATATTCAACTGTATTTTCATCTAAGCTCCTTCATTTGTTAATTCTCTTTATTCAGAGTAAATTTTAAATTCAGTTTTGGGGACCAAAAAGTTAACTAGAGCCAGTAGCTTTGACTCATTTCTTCCTCCAATATAATTTTGAAATAACTCAAATATATCTCTACACACACACACACACACACACATATCAGAGAAATTCTATTTCACTCATGGAAATTAAGGAAAGATCCCACTTGCTATTTTGGCAGAAAATGGCAGCAGTCATTACATAGGAAACCTCAACCTTAAGAGTAGAGACTTCATCTTGGACCTCTTTTTGCCCAAAATAAGACCTGGGTATATAGAAGACATTCAACAACTGTTGATTATGATAAGGAATACACACAATGGAAATGGAAAACTGAGATGGAAAGAACTGAGAACTTTATGCAGTAAGTTCTGATGGCAACGGTGTCAAATTTTAATGAAGCAACACGACATGACAAACAAATGCAGGATCAGTCTTGGCTTGGTCACTTACTGAGTGATCCAAGACAAATTACTCAACTTCTCTAGTAACTCAGTTTCTTCCTCTGGAAAATGAAGGCAAGAATCTTGTCTCTGCTGGTCACCATTACACATTGCAGCTCCTACTTTGCAAGAATGCTATGAAGATCAAACAAACAGTAATGCACACATGTGAAATGTCTGCTACATTGAAACTAAGGAAGTGGTCATTATTATTACATTTATTAATGATAATAAATTTTGTTCTTACAGGAAAAAAAAAATTGTACCAGTGATTTCTGAGTCAAGGAAGAACTGGCCAAGAAAAAGTTACTATGTGTGGTAACCTCTTGAGGGAAATTAAATGGAGACCAACATCATCTCTGATAGATCACCTCCCCCACCATCTCAGCCACACCTGACTAATCAGACCTCTCTGAGAATGAACAGAAAAAAAAATCAGTAATTAAATATAATAGTGAAGATGATGATAAAGATGATGACTACAATGATGATGGCAAGATATGATGAAGATAATAATAAATCATATAGTTTAGTCATGTTCAACTCTTTGTGACCCCATGGACTACAGCCTGCCAGGTTCCCCTGTCCATGGAGTTCTCCAGGCAAGAATACTGAAGTGGACAGCCATTCCCTACCCAGGGGATCTTCCTGACCCGGGGATCAAACCCAGGTCTCCTGCATTGCAGGCAGATTGTTTACCATTTGAGCCACCAGGAAAGTACAATAAGCCATGTAGCTAAAAGTGAAAGTGAAAGTCACTCAGTCGTGTCCACTCTTAGCAACCCCACAGGTGATACAGTCCATGGAATTCTCTAGGCCAGAATACTAGAGTGGGTAGCCGTTCTCTCCAGGGGATCTTCCCAACCCAGGGATCAAATTCAAGTCTTCTGCATTGCAGGTGGACCCTTTACCAGCTGAACCACCAGGGAAGCCCAAGAATACTGGAGTAGGTAGCCTATCCCTTCTGCAAGGGATCTTCCCAATCCAGGAGTAGAACCGGGGTCTCCTGCATTGCAGGCAGATTTTTTCAACGTACATCATCTTATTTAATCCTTTAAAGAACTTTAGGATAAGGGTTTTATTACACCCACCGAATAAATCAAAGCTCAGAGGGTTTCAGTGAAGAGTCATTCATGCATCACCACTGAGATGCCAGCTTTTTCTAGTTCAAATGCTTGTGCTGTTATTACAGGTTATTACCTCCATAAAACAGGGAGGCTAATCTGAGAATTCAGAGAACTGTCCTCCAGTGAAAAAGTTAAGTAGGAAGTAAGGGAAATGTATTTTTAAAGTCTAATTTGTATTCCTGGTGAGAACAGAGAGAACACTGCTTTAATATGACAGAAGCGGGCTGCCATAAAAAAGAGCCATCTTAAACAAGGAAGAGTTCTTGGATAAAAAACACATGACTTCTAAACTAATGAAACTCAATAGAGGCAGGAAATAACAGATTTACCACTGCCCGAAGCCAGACTGGTCCATTCCAGGATGAGCTGGAAGAAATCTCCCAAAATTCAGAGGAAAGAAGGAGGTAATTCCATGAAAAGAAGGGAAAAGGCAGAGATGCGGAATCTTTCTCAGAACATTGAAAAATATATATGTAATAGCATTTCCAGAGCAGATGAAGAAGAAGAAAATAGCATGGAAATTCTTGAAAAGATATTTTGCACAGCTGCAGAAAGGCCCAAATCAAACTTGAAATCATTCATCAAGTGCCAGAAACTACTGCAGTGGGTAGAGGTGGGGGCCCCATTAGTAACTGGGTCAAATTTCTAAATTTCAAAGGTAGATACATACTGTATGGTGTATTTGAAAATTGCTAAGAGAGTAGATCTTAAAAGTTCTAATCATAGGAAATAAATATAATTTGTGTGGCATGGATGTTAACTAGACTTACTGTGGTGATCATTTTGCAGTATGTACAAACATCACATCATTACATTGTACTCCTGAAACTAATATAATATTATATGTTAATTACACCTCAATGTAAACCACCACCAAGGCCAAGGGGCAGAGGGGGGAATGGGGTGAATGGTGGAGTGGGAGTCTGGGGTTAGCAGATATACATTTTTATATATGGAATGGATAAACAACAAGGTCCTACTGTATTTCATAAGGAACTAAAGTCAGTATCCTGTGATAGACCATAATGGGAAAGAATGCAAAAAAGAATGTGTATATAGTATATGTATAACTGAATCACTTTGCTGTACACAGCAGGAACTTACACATTGTAAACCCACTATACATCAATAAATGAAAACTACCACAACAATACAAATACAAAGATAGATATAAATGTATATAAGTACTGTTCAGAGAAAAGAAGTTTCTCTCTGAAGAAAAGCTGATTCCCTCAAGCTTCCTTTTTTGCAATAGTGTAATAACATTTCCAGCAATATTTACAGAGCTCAATGGAAATAGATTGTAACTCAAGTGGGACCCAAAGACTCTGCATCTGGTCTAACATTCACAAACAAGGGTGAAAAATAAGGCGTTTTAAACATGCAATGAACTGAAAAAGTTTATCAGGCACCCATTCGCTAAAAAAATTATTCCTCCCAAGAGAAATAAAAATAAAAATAAAGAACAAGTAAGAAGATTTTCTATAGGATCTTTGGGTAGATTCCTTAAACATGATACCAAAAATTCTCACCTTAAAGGAAATCATTATAAATTGTATTACTTAACAATAAAAGACTTTGGTTTATGAGATAATATCATTAAGAGAATAAAAAAGCAATCCTTAGAGTGGGAGAAGTTACTTGCAAAAACCACATAATAGTCAAAGACCCAACTCCAGAATACGTAAAGAATTCTGCAATACAACAGGAAAAAGGTAGGAAACTCAAAGGAATAATGGGCAGGGGACCTGAACAGTCACCTTACCACAGAAGGAATCCAAATGGCCAAGGAAATATGAAAAGTTGCTGAACCTATAAGTCATCCAATCGATGCCAGGAGATTTTACAGAGAATACCAAAACAATCCACAGCATGGGTAAAACTGAAAACGACGGGCAAAACCAAGTGTTGGTGGGGACATAGCTCAGCCAAAGCTCATGTATTTTGATGGGAGGGGGATGCGGACAAGCCCCTCAGAAAGCTGTTTTTCCATCATTGGCTACGACTTAACAGTAGGCAAACACCATGACTCAACAGTTTCACACGTTCAACAAAAATACCATGACCCAACAATTTCACATGTTCAACAAAAATGTAAGGAGACTTCCCTGGCGGTTCAGTGATTAAGACTCTGTGCTGCCACTGCAAGGAGCATGGGTTCAATCCCTGGTTGGGGAATTAAGATTCCACATGATGCAAAACTCAGCCAAAAAAATAAATTAAAAAAAATTGGTAATGTCTATACCAAAACGCATGTGCTAGGATGTTTGTATCAGCAACATTTCCAATTGTCAAAAATTGGAAACAACTGACGTGTCCATCAACAGTAGAGAGGATAAATAAAAGGTGATACAGATGTGCATGGATCCCTACCACTTTCTCTCTTGTGTGTACCAGCTTGTTCTCATTCTTTTTTTTAAAAAAAAAGCTCAAATATCTCTCCTCTTGAAAAATCGGTCCCTTAAATTTCTGTCTGCTCTGGTCTTGTGCATCTTCTTCCTCACATGGCCATGCCCCTTGATAGGCGATGCCTGGATTCAGTCTCCATTTTCTCATTCCCCCCACCTGTTTTTCTTTTTTTGGCCATGCTGCACATGACCTGTGGGATCACAGTTCCCCAACCACGGCAGTGAAAGCCCAGAATCGTAACCACCAGGCCTCTTCATTGTCTTTCAATTCCTTGGTCCACATCCACTTGGCTTTACTAATGCACACATGATGCTCTCACCTTGGTTATCGACCAACCACCTCCTTAGTATTAAATCAAACAGTACTCTTTGTTCCTTACCTTACAGAAAGAGCAGCACCAGACAGGACTGAAGATTCTCTTTTTCTCCCACCTTGGAGCCTGCGATACTTCCTTCTTCCGGTCTTCTTCCTGGTTTCCTAGTCCCGCCCCTTCCTCCCCTCTGCCAATAGCGAACCGTGTTGGTGGTCTTCGGCATCCCGTTTTCTTATCACTCCACAGGCTGTGTAGGTCACAGCCATCCTCATGATTTCAGTGACCTTCTGAATGCTGTTATCTCCCATCGCTAAATCTCTGTGCAAAGGACTCTGAGGTCCAGACCTCCTAGTGAATGCTTTTGACTTGAGTGTCCTACAGGCGACAGACACTCAGATTCACAATTTTTCGTATTAAGGTTACTCACTCTGGCCTTTTGCCTCTGTGAATGGAATTAACATACACTGGACATTCACCTGGGCTTTCCAGGTGGTGCTAGTGATAAATAACCCGTCTGCCAATGCAGGAGACATAAGAGATGTGGATTCCATCCTGGGTGGGAAAGATCCCCTGGAAGAGGGCCTGGCAATCCATTGCAGTATTCTTGCCTGGAGAACTCCAGAACAGAGGAGCCTGGTGGATTATAGTCCATGGAGCTACAAAGAGTCAGACATGACTGAAGCAACTTAGCATGCACACACGGATATCCACCTCTCTCTCCCAGATCTGAAACCTCTCTCTCCTTTGCCATTCCCATCCCATGATCAAGTCCCATACTTTCCATTCTATCAACTTGTTTCAAAACTACCTTAGTCTGTATTCTGATGACTGTTTTTCTTAGTTGAGTCACCAACTACTTGGCTGGTTTATTAAGGAATCTTAAGTTACTACTTTCACTCCAACCCCTACCATCACTCCATCATTTCTTCTGTACTGAATTCAGTATGTTGAATTTCCTTTGAAGTTCTTACATCTATAGAATAAGGAGGGCACCAGTGATTTATCAAACTAATTCACAATTTACTCCGTGTATTTTAATAGCATATACATAATTGTAGGCTCACTAACGTCCTCATTTGATTAGTGTGGGTGAGATGTACAGTGTATGAGATCAGAAGCACTGCAGATAAGTACAATGTGATCCCTGGTTCTGCCAGGTTTCAGATGTGTAAACTTAAGTGATTAACTCAGCCTTTCTGGACTCAGTTTCTTCATCTGTAAACTGGGGGTGATTGTGATACTGTTTCATGGTACCATTGTGGGTATTTTACAAAATAACAGCACAATGCCTGGTACATTGCAGAGTCAAGAAAAAAAGCTTTCATCTCTCTCTAAAATAAACATTTTATTTAAAAATATACATATATTTTTTAAAAAAGAACACATGCCAACTTTGGTATTTAGCCATTGCTTCTTTTCTCTTCCTGGTCACCCACATTTCTTCCTAGTTATGCATAGTTGAGCGAAGGAGCCGACATGAAAGCTCCACCACACGGGGTCCCTTGCAGAGAACATATGCTGGCTCTTTGGATTTCTTTGCAAAGTGCCTCTTTGTGTTTCCAGGAGGCAGGATTTCAAGCACCCAGCTGTGCACTGCCCTCTTTCCTCGCTGCAGGCACGTTGGAGAGAACTTTGGGGAGCAGTGTGGCTTCCCTTCCTTTGGAAAACATTACAGCAGCCTCCAGGATCCCCATCATTCTATGACCTTCTCCCCAAAACCCTCTGGAGCTGTTAAAGCACACACAGGGAACTCACAAGGCCAAAGGTGATTGAAGTAAGCACAAGAGACCACCAGGAGTTTGTCTTAATCCATAAAATTCTAGAAACTTAGATTCCACCAACTCCTACCATCAGAAGGGAACTTTTTCATGTTATCAAACCCAATGAGTCTATAGCAATTTCCCTGGGAGGTAATAGAGAAATTTTTCTCGGATCTCTTCCGGTCTTAAAGTCATTTCCTAATGCATAGTCTCACCCTAGCCAGGGCTCCTCTGAAGATGTGGATTCCAGAATCAAACCCAGCTCCTCACCATGCTGAGCGGCTCTCTAGCTTATAGGACTGTCTTGTTGTGTGTCTAGCAATATCATCTAATAAAGCACTAGTTGAGTTTCCTCATCTCATCTGCCCTGCTGGTTTCTACTGGATTTATGAGAAAACTTAAGACTCCAGACTCTTTCACTCTGAGTTCTCTCACAGCTGACAGCAAACTTGGTGCATCTGTTGACCACAGCCAAGCCCTGAAGGGGGGCCAAGCTGCCCCCCAATCCTGCAGCATTTTTTCCCTAAAAGATAGAGGCTCTCCATGGACACCGTACCCTCTAAGTGTCCCTTTTGTCCAGAGAGCTTGTTCTGAAGATCAAGATGAAGGCACGGGACAAAATAATAATAAGTTTCCTTTATACTTCTCTGATTTCCCAAATGTTTCTGTATCTGGCAATGAAGACAAATCCTAAAAGCTCAAACAGATGTTTTAAGTGGTAGAAAGACATCTAAGTCATATGATGCTGCTGCTTGATCACAGAAAAAAAAAAAAATGTCAGCATGGGTGTAGGTTTTAGCTAAAAAGCCGCCTCCCCTTTGGGAAAAGGAAGACCCCCTTGTCATCATAGGTAAAGGGATTCTGGTTGGAAGACTTGGAAATTAGTAGGGTTCTTGCAACCTCCCAGTCCCTCAAGATGGGAACCGTCTGTGCAGAGTCTATGTGGTACTGGACGTCTGGGACAGGGGATGTGCTCTGCACAGGTAAGACATCAAGTTATCATCTGCTGGATGAGTAAATCTGATGCAGGAGTTTTCGGCCAAACCAGCACTGGTTTCTAGAAGAGGTGATAGAAACCTCTTCAAGAGGTCTTCAGAAAAGACTGTCTTGAACGCTTGGGGTAGGTTTTTGATCCTCCCCCCTTCTTTGGTTCAGATTGGAGACAAATGTTTCTGGATGGCAAAGGCCACCAGTTCACAGACCCTTGACTGTTCAACTGAACACCCTCTTGCTTTCCTTATCTGCCGGGGCGATCACTTCATGGAGAGAATGGTTTCTCAGTCCAAGCTTTTCGATTTCTTTTTCATAACATAATGTCTCAGCTGAACTGAGAGGCTGTGACCTGACCTTCCTTCCTTTCCTCCTTCTTTCCTTCCTTCCTTCTTTCCTTTCCCCCTTCCTCTCCCTTTCCTTCTAGTAGAATGTGTATCATCTCAATAACACTGTTAGAAGCAGGGCTTCTACTGAGCACAGGCTTAATGGAAGGACAAAGGAATTTCCTGAATCCGTGGGATAAGGGTGAACCCATAGGACTGCACCAGAGTTGGCAGCAGCTGCAAATGTCTGCAGGTCACTTTACCACAGGGTAGTCCTGGGGACCTTGAGAGGAACACATGTGGTCAATTTCATGCTCTAAGAGCCTTAAGAAACTTGACCGTGGCCATCTTAAGGCTCTGAACATCTTTTAGTCATGCCCAATTTGTCACCAGAATAGAAGACACAATTAAGAGTTTAAAAGAACTTTAAAAAAAAATCCCTTATAGGAAATATAAATTAACACAGATGATCAGGGAGCAACCAGCTTCATCAACCTTTTCCCAATTATCCTCAGTTTTATCTTTCAAATCTCGCATTTGATCTAAGGAAAGAGCGTGAAGATGGTGGGTGGGGGTTGTGGGTGGAGGTTGAAAGCAATGATCCTGGAGTCTGCTCCGGGTTGTGTGCCGGTTTGTAGCAGCAAATATCTTTCGTTAACTGTGAGGCATATATGTCAGTGCCAGATAATAGCCTAAAAATATCCCAATGAAAATGCATAGTCTTACAAAGACAGAGGCCTCCTAGCCAAGTCTAGCCCTTCAGACAGAAATACCCAAAGGAAAAAAATAATCGACACTCAGACCAGAGTCTCAGAGATTGCTGTGAGGTTGTTTTCCAAAGGAAGGGGAATAAAAATAAGATAAAAAAATTCACACAACTTGGCACATGAGAAGCGGACTGACCAGCGAGCTTTGTCAAGATCCCCCCCCAAAATGTCAACGTCTGAGGAACACACAAAGGTGAGGAATGTGTCAGGAAGGTTTCCTTCCCCATAGCTTCATCATCAAAGAAGAGATGGCAATTTTCCCCTCAGGATCTTTGGTTTTGATGACAGACATCAAAGCAAAGTGGAAAATGTACCGTGTGGCTCTTTTAAAGCACAAGGCCGATGAAGGAATGTAAAACGACGGTCGCCTTCCACCGCTGCTCTCTGTGAGAGGAGGCAGTACCTTTCCAGTGACCAAAGGTGAATGCTCCCTGTCTCTTCACATCACAGTCACTGTCGAGACGGGCTTGTTCATCGTAAGCAGCTGGCTGTGCGTCACTGGGTTAGAGCCATGAGTCATACGTAGAAGCAACTTGCAGTTGGGTGATGAATCGGGAACGCGCAGTGAGAAAGGCCAAGACCACTTCACAGCAGATGGAGGCTTAAAGGCTTTTGGTATAGAACTCCGTTGCACTGCCTTGAAGATACACACACATACACACATGTGTATGTATATGTACATATGGATGTGTATATATGGATATACATATCCACACATACCTATAGACACACATACATATACACATGTATATATCTATACACACATGCATATGTGTGTGTGTATATATATATATATATACATATATAATATAGATATTCCCCTCCTCCCCTCCCCACCCCCCCAGTAAGATGCGGCAGCTTTCAGAGTAGCAATCACCAAAAACACTCTGTGTTCACACATGTTAACAGGTTAACAATGGAATGACTTCTAAATCTTTTTTTTTTTTTCAAAAAGAGAACTTCTAAAATCACAACATGTTTGGTTATTTTCTCCATAAGTGCACAGTGAACAATTTTTTTTTTTTACAAAAGAAGAAAACAGTGCCTTAGTGATTTAAATAAAAAATAAAAACAGCGAGAGCTACCTTCTACAGCATGCAACACTATGAATCTGTGCATTAGAACCACAGTGAGCCTTAGAGACGATCCTGCAATTTAAGTTTTCAACTCCCAGCAAAAGCAGGGGAAGTGGTGAGGAATGCACAGGAGACCATCATCTTTTTTTCCTTCCATCCTTTTCGACATGCAATTGTGTTTTCTTTCAGAAACGCAGATCTAAAATACTCTTTCCTTGGAACTATACTTTGTATTTACCTTTACAACATAACGAGTTCCGGTTTTCCCCAGGGCAACCCAAATCAGTGACTGCCAACCCAATGGGGGTAGGGGGAGCTTCATGACTGTGGATGGAATCATTGATTTCTTTCCTTCGATTTCTTTCTTTTGACTTCCTTTTACAGCAAGTTATTATGCAGATGGAGAATGAGTTACCCAGGAGAACCTTGACTTTCAGCTTTTTAACGTATGGTTTTATTAGCAGTAGGACAGCTGGTAAATGGACGAAATCCTCTTCTCCCAATGTTGAGGCAGAGAAAGGGAGATCTTCAAAAGAGGGGAGAGAAAGGATGGAGAATTTGAAAGAAAAGTATAAAGTGGGAGAAAGATAATGGAGGTGAACCCCTCCTTCCAATAAGAAAATAAAAAAGAGAAGCCGAACTTCCATAAATAATCACCCTGTTATATGAATAGTAACCCACTGTGTTTATTCCCATCATACATGAAATGATGTTCTTTCGTGCTGTCTGCCTTATTCCTGATAACAGTTTCTTGAGACCAGAGAGATGCTTTTGATTTGCTCACATGGTCATCTCTAGTCTTTGACACTAAAGGAGGTTGTGCTGGAGAATGGCAGGAGGTTTTGTCTCTCTTCTTGCTTTAGGGTTCTCTCCTGTTTCACAGTGCTCAACACCATGGCGGGGATTCCCAGGTGGCTCAGTGGTAAAGAATCCACCTGCCAATGCAGGAGACCCGAATTCGATCCCTGGGTGGGGAAGATCCCACGGAGGAGGACATGGCAACCCACTCCAGTATTCTTGCCTGGGAAATCCCACGGACGGAGGAGTCTGGCGGGCTACAACCCAGGGCGTCGCAAAGAGTCGGACACAGCTAACCGAGCGACCGAGCACACACATCACCACGGAGACAGTGACAGTGATCCGGCCACTGGTTAAGAAAGGGAAATTTCAGGTGGGGTTCTTTGGGCCAAAGGTAGGTCGGTTGTTTTCAGTGACCACATGGAGTCCTGGGTATAGGGTTGGGGTCACTGTAGGGGGTGGCTTTGTGGCCAAGGGATACTGAGTTCACTTCACTTCCCTGGGAATGGATTGGTCCTGTGCCTCTGTTCTGCCTTAAGAACCTGACACTGGGCCTGACCTCTATTTTGAAAGGCGGGTGACGGAGACAGGAGAAGCAGCCTTCAGGGGTACGACTTCCATCACCTTTGAAGGACTGGCTTCTGTGTGTTCCCCAGAGAGCTTACAACTTCTTTCCACGGTAAGAGTAACAAATTCATGAGAAAAGCTTACAAAGTGACATTATGCCCCAACAGTGCCTGAAAAAAAAAATACAAGCTAGAAAAAAAGGTTAGTGTTTGAAAGGCATTGGAAGAAAATTTTTTTTGCATTCTTGATCTGAAAAAACATAATTTTGAAAGCATTGCTGAAATCAATAACGGTCACTGAATGTTGGCAAATATTACACTATCCATCTATTTAAAAAAAGGCTTCTGTTTGTTCTTTCTGGTCGTCACAGAAGTCTCCATGCTTGTTTTTCATTCTCTCCAGCTCCTCCTCCCCTTCTTCCTCCTCCCTCTTCTTCCTCTCCCCCTCTTCTAGCTCCTCCTTCCTTGGGAGAATGTAAATATTTGTGGTCATGTGCTTTCCCCAATGGGATTCCTCTTGGCCTTCCTTAGCACTTCATCAGGCGTTTACCACTGCTGTAAGTGGAGGTCCATGGGGGAATTCAGATTGAGATCCGTGACATCCAGGAAATCAATGTTGAAGATGCTGGGGCCCCCGGTAGATAGGGAGCTGAAGCTTGGGGTGGAGCTGGGCGGCGTGAGGTCCAGCCACTCCATGCTTTCCCAAGGAGATTCTGTGAAGCTTAAGGGCAGCCCACTGCTGTCCACAGAGGAGGGTGAAAACTGAGTCTGCATGGGGGACAGGGGGCCCGGCAGGATCTCGTGTGCATTGAAGAGGTCTTCCGCAGCCTTCCCTGAGAATCCATCCATCATCCCGTCGAAAGGGGGCTCCTCACTCCCGATTTTCAGAAGGGCGGTGTCGCTCACCTTCCCCAAGGGGCTCTGGGAATTTAATAAGACTTCCAGGTGCTCGTCGCTGTCAGCACCAAAGTGATCAAAGGAGAGCTGGCCTCCTGCGGACGCCAGTTCAAAGGCTGCCGAGGACTTGGGGAGGGCACTAGTGGGGCTTCGAGAAGACCCGGGGATCTTTGGGACTCTGTGAAGACATGAATGTTCCTCTCTGGCGTCAGCGGGCATTTCTGTTGGTAAAACACAATGGGAATTGTTCAATCGCTTCTGATCGATTGTGATCATTCAAAGATTGATCATTCAAAGATCGACCAAAGATTCATTCAAGTTTGATGAATGAATGAATGACTTACAGAAGGAGATGGCCATGCTTCTTGGGTTACGGCTCTTCACCCAGTCTCACCCCTAAACCACTCTATACATTGCAAGTTCTTCCCTTGGGTCTCTCCCCAAACCCTCTCTTGCTGGAAATTCCACTCTGCGATTATCAGACGCTCAAAGCAGGTGCTTTTACCTGCTCCTTCACTGTCACCTGGCTGCCCCTGAAGACACTGCATCCTCACTAGACCCTCAGTGGGGGCTCTTTGCTGCCAGCCAGAAGATGAGTCATCAGGTCCTTTCCTGCCACCACTGTCTGATTGTTACTCCTCCTCCTTGTTATAACTCCTCAGTGGTTTGGAAGGTCATCCTGCTCTCAATGTCCCCCCACCCACACCCCCGTCTCCTGGTCCCTCCTCCTCATTCATCAAAAACTACTGCCCGGCTCACTGCCTTTCTTCCACTTCAACTCTCCGTGACTTCAGCATCCCGGAAGCGACTTGCTGTCCAGAGGCCCCCTCTGTTCCCTGACACCCCACCCCCCTCCGTGCAAGTGATGCTGCCATTGCCACTCTGCTGGACACATTCTGGATCTTGTGGCCCCAAACACTGCATCCTCTGAAAGTTCAGTTTCATTCACCATTTCCAGCAACCTGTCCATCACCTCCCACTCCTCAAGTTCACTTCGTAAGGCCCCTCTGACAACAAATTCTCAGCCATTTTGAGTCACCCCAGTCTACTGACTCCACGATTTTGTCACCATCCATCAGCTCCTTCTGGTTTTTATTTATATATTATTTTGGCCACTACATGCGGCATGCAGGATCTTAGTTCCCTGAACCAGAGACCGAACCTGCCTTCCTTGCAGGGTAAGCACAGCATCATAAGCACTGGACCACCAGGCAACTTCCTGGCTTTCACTTCTTTCCTTGTGCAGTCTGTACTCTTGATCCACCACTCTAATTACTCTCACATATAACCTCAATCCCCCTGCCCCTTTCTTCCATCACCCTAGCCCCTTGGAAAACCCCACACCTGGATGAATCTGACCATCTGTTTTCTCTGAGCCCTTCCAGGATTGGCTGGACTTTTAAGAAAAAATCACACAATGAAGTTGCAGAGTTCATTTTTAAATTCATGATGTCAAGCCTATAAAGTGAAAGTGAAGTCGCTCAGTCCTGTCCGACTCTTTGCGGCCCCGTGGACTGCAGCGTACCAGGCTCCTCCGTCCATGGGTTTCTCCAGGCAAGAATACTGGAGTGGGTTGCAATTTCCTTCTCAAGCCTATAGTCGGCACTTAATACCGCCTAGTAGGGGGCTTCCCAGGTGGCGCTAGTGGTAAAGAACCTGCTAGTAGTAAAGAACCGGCCATCCTGCTGTTGTAAGATGTAAAAGACGCAGGAGATGTAAAAGACGCAGGTTGAATCCCTAGGTCGGGAAGGTCCCCCGGAGGAGCCTGGCAGGCTACAGTCCATAGGGTCGCAAAGAGTCAGACACGACTGAAGCAACTTTGCACGCATAAACTCAGGCACAGAGAGAGGGTGATCCTACTGTTGTTTCTTGTGATCGATTCATCACTGTTCTTCTTTCCTGGAATTCCCCAGGTTCCACTCCCACACCCTGTTTGCAGACCTTGCCACATACTTCATTAAAAACATAAGGGTGTCTTCACTGCTATATTTAAACTGGATAATCAAGGACCTACTGTATAGCACAGGGAACTCTGATCAGTGTTATCGTGTGGCAGCCAGGATGGGAGGGGAATTTGGGGGAGAATGGATACATGTATATCCATGGCTAAGTCCCTTTGCTGCTCACCTGAAACTTTCACAATGTTGTTAATTGGTTATACCCCAATACAAAATAAAAAGTTTAAATACAAAATATAATGGTGTCTGATAGGAACCTGCTCATCTTTCCGTCAAGAAACTTAACAACGATACAGACACCTGTGCCCATGTTTTTCTTCTTCCCTCTTGTTACAAGGGAGGAACTGCCTGTTTTCTTGCATGGCACCCATCTCTCTTGCCAGACAGCAAACCCCCTAAAAGTGGAGACTTTGCCTGGTTCAGGGATGGACCTAGTCTGATGCCTGGCCACTTTCTCTCTGAAACTTTCAATGCTGTCACTTAAGCGCTCAGCACTGAAGAATTGATGCTTTTGAACTATGGTGTTGGAGAAGACTCTTGAGAGTCGCCTGGACAGCAAGGAGATCAAACCAATCCTAAAGGGAATCAACCCTGAATACTCATTGGAAGGACTGATGCTGAAGCTCTAGTACTTCAGTCACCTGATGCAAAGAGCTGACTCATTGGAAAAGACCTTGATGCTGTGAAAGATTGAAGGTAGAAAGAGAAGGGAATGATAGAGGATGAGACGGTTGGATGGCATCACTGACTCAATAGTCATGAGTTTGAGCAAACTCTGGGAGATACTGAAGGACAAGGAAGCCTAGCGTGCTATAGTCCATGGGGTAGCGAAGAGTTGGACACAACTTAGGGACTGAAAAACAGCAACAACTTAAGGTCTCCAATATGGAGTCTTTCCTTTTTATCCACACATTCTCCTTACATTGTCAACTTGTGTGCTTTCAAATTTTAGGCACAACTATGTAACTGTTTAGAAAGAAATAAATGAATGACTTAAAAGAAGGCAAAAAAGAACACACTGATCACTGTCACTGCTTGAATGATGTGTGAACGTGAAGGGCCCATCGGTGGGAGATTCATTTTGCGTAGACTTGCTTTACCTGCTTCCTTCTTCTCATAATTAAGAAGAGAGGGACATTGGGATTAGAACAGTAAGGGGAGATGGTTTAGCAGGAAAAACATTTAGGAAAACAAGGACCAAGCTGAAAGATGAAAACTGTTAAAACGACTGCTGAAAAGTTTTCTGAGGGCAATGGAACAAAGGTGATGAGGGATCACCCTCTAGGACTTCTTTTATCTGCTTCAAATATGGACAGGAGGCTCAGAGGCAGGGACGCTCCACCCTGACACGGCTCTTTGGTCCAACTCACAATGAGCATCTGACCTCGGCCCTAAGAGTCCACACCCTAGAGCGCACACAGGGGCAGAGCATCCTGATATCTTACCTCCACTTTCAATGAGGACATCCAGGAGTTCATCCATCTGCTGGCTCCGGGTCATTTGCTGTTGCCAATTAACCAAAGGAGAACAGAGAAATTAAAACGTAGCAACTGCTTCTGTGGGAAATCATCGGAAGCAGTATGGCAGGTTTTTGAATTAGGTTTGGTTAGCAGTGTTTTTTTTTTCTTAATTGTGGTAAACTACAAACAACATAAAAATTTACCATCTTAACCATTTCAGAGTATAGTGTGCAAATGCATTAAGTTCATTCAAGTGGTTGTGCAACTGGCACCACTGTTCAGTTCTGGAACTTTTTCATCTTGCAAAACTGAAACTCTGACCCCATTAAACACTAACTCCCCATCCCCTCCTCCCTACAGCTCCTGGACACCACTGTTCTGTTTTCTGTCGCTGTGGATTTGATGACTCTAGGTATCTTATATAAGTGGACTGATACAGTATCTTTGGTGCTTTCCTAATAGCTCAGTTGGTAAAGAATCAGCCTGCAATGCAGGACACCCTGGTTTGATTCCTGGGTCGGGAAGATCCGCTGGAGAAGGGATAGGCTACCCACTCCGGTATTCTGGCCTGGAACATTCCATGGACTGTATAGACCACGATGGGGTCGCAGAGAGTCAGACACGACTGAGCTGCATTCACTTTCACAGTGTCTTTCCCTTTATGGCTGGCTTATTTTACTTAGTATAATGTCTTCAAGGTTCATCCATGTTGCAGCAGCGGTCAGAATCTCCTTCCTTATTAATTCTGAGTAATATTCATTGTGGGGCTTCCCAGGTGGTCCTAGTGATAAAGAACCCACCTGGCAATGCAGGAGACTATAAGAGACTTGGGCTCAACCGCTGGATGGGGAAGATCCCCTGGAGGAGGGCATGGCACCCCACTCTAGTATTCTTGTCTGGAGAATCCCATGGACAGAGGAGGCTGGCAGGGTATAGTCTATGAGGTTGCACAGAGTCAGACATGACTGAAGCAACTTAGCATGCAGGCACAATATTCATTGTATGTATAGAATACGTATTTCATTTATCCATTCATCCATTCATCCTTCAATGAACACTTGGGTTGGTTCCACCTTTTGGCCTTCGTGAATACAGACTAAAGGTTGGCTAAAGGTTTTGGTAGCATGTGTTTTTGGACAGGAAAACACTAAATAAAACAATCTGACACAACAAGAGAAGGGGGGAAAGGAGGCAGAATGATCCCTAGCCCAGAGTTGTTCAGAGTAAATTCAGTGGTTTGAGAAGTTTCCATTCCAGGAGATGGGCACCTCAATATATAAATAGTACGGCCATTTTTATCACTTTGAATTGACTTGGCTAAGACACAAAATAAGCCTCAACAATCAAGCATCTTTTCTGATCACAATGGCATGAAACTAGAAATTAATCAGAGAAAAAGCAATGGAAAAAAATGCTTATGTGGAGGCTAAACAACATGCTACTAAAACATGAATTGGTCAGTGATGAATTCAAAGAGGAAATTAAAAGATACATAGAGACAAAGAAAAGTTGGTTTCGGTCTAAAAGTTGGACTATAAAGAAAGCTGAGCATTGAAGAATTGATGCTTTTGAACTGTGGTGCTGGAGAAGACTCTTGAGAGTTCCTTGGAGAGCAAGGAGATCCAACCAGTCCATCCTAAAGGAAATCAGTCCTGATTGGGTCCTATCCCTGGTTGGGGAATCAGATCTCTAATGCCGTGCAGTGTGGCCAAAAAAAAAAAAAAGCAACTAAGGAAGGGGGCTGGGGGAAAAAAAAATTAGAAAAAGAGCAAACAAAACCTAAACTCAGCAGAAGGAAGGACATTAAAGATCAGAGAGGAATTACATAAGATAGAGATGAAATAACAATAGAAAAAATAATCAATAAATCCAAGAGCTGGTTCTTTCAAACAGTGAACAAAATCAACAAACCTTTGGCTCACCAAGAAGAAAGGACCCAAATAAAGAAAATAAGAAATAAAGTGATTTGGAACTGCCTCCCGTTTGGGTGCTGAGGATGTAGCTCCTGTTTCTCTGGCTCCCCATTGCACTTGTAGTGAACACACCTTCCCTTCTGGCTCATCTGAGTTAAGTAAACTCTGTCTGTGGGAGTCCACTTTGCCTGGCCCTCTTCTTTTCTTTTGAAACCACAAAGGATCCATTTGATGTTTACAGATATCAGGGGATGGGAATGAGGAGGACAACGGCATACATGGACCTCAGTCCCTGGGATCACTGAGTTTTGAAGCGAGGAAGAACCTTAGAAACAGTTACCCCAGCAATTACTCTCATGTGTTAATATTTGAGTACGTATCTTGTGTCAGGACAATGCGATCAATACTATGTCATCCAGAACCCTTATCCAGTAGATATCGTCTTCATTTCATAGAAGAGAAGTTGAATTCTTGACCAGGGTTTGTGGCAATGGCAGCTGGCACCAAGTCTGGGCATTTGGGTGCTAAGTCAACCTCCTCTCTCTCTGCCTCACACAGCGTCTCTACACACACCACGATTCTTCACAGTGAGCATCTGGACAGTCGGCTTGTTCCGGCGGGGGAGGCAACAGAATCTACACGCGTGAAGCCACATCATATAAAACAACATGCAGTGAATCAGTCTGTTCTTCCATGAAGATCAAATCGTGCGCTTACCTGCTTCACTGCATCTTCGTAGGATGGCGGCTGAGTTATTTCTGAAACTGTGGAAGTGGACTTGGAAAACGTTGGGGACGGAATTGGAAACTTTGGCCCTGCCTTATCAGAAGAGTGCAGACCCACCATCTGCGTGAGTAAAATGCAGAGAAAGACGATCAATCCATGCATCAGACATTGTATATAGCTCCTGTTTTAGAAACTATAGAGTCAACTGTAGAAAAAATTGATTAAAAGGAAAAAAAAAGAGCTGGGGCTTAAATATATATCACAGAGATGTTACAGATATATATCAACAACAGGGCACATCACTGTGGACGTGATGCTGGAGGCATTTCAGGATGGGAGCCTAAGAAATTCATTTCCGTTCTCTAAAGTGCACCCTGTCTGTTGGGAGAAAGCGAGATGAGAAAAGAAAATGAAGCAAAGTGTCTATCCAGTCCAACACAAAGAGCTCCATCAACCCAGGCATTTCCACAGTAATTTACCTCTCAGCCTGTGTCGTTCCTAAATGAAAGTATTAGCTGCTCAATCATATTCAGCTCTTTGCACCCCGTGGACTGTTGCCCTCCAGGCTCTTCTGTCCACAGGATTTCCCAGGCAAGAATACTGGATCCCCCTTCTCCAGGGGATCTTGCCAAACCAGGGATCGAACCCAGGTCTCTTGGATTGCCGGCAGATTCTTTACCATCTGAGCCACCAGGGAAGCCCATTTCAATCCTAAGTGAGTGTGCATATATTTCTGGAGTGTCTCTTCATAAGCCAGCCCTGCGTGCTGTGTGTTCTGTGAGGGTACTCGGGACATTAGAGAGTCTCCATCCCCAAGGATGCCCTGCACTATGGCATGCAGCACTTCAGTGTCATGGCCAACTCATGTCTGCCACCATTTTTTTTTTTTAAGACTAATTTCATTTAATTTTTTTGAACTTTTTATTTTGTATTGGGGTATAGCTCTTTAACAAACAATGCTGCGGTAGTTTCAGGTGAACAATGAAGGGACTCAGCCATACACATACATGTATCCTTTCTCTCCCAAGCCCCCTTCCCATCCAGGCTGCTACATAAAAAGTCTGCCTCCTTTCTGACTACCTTCCCACTGACCCTTGCATTCCCCACATCCTGCATCTTTTACCTCTCTGAGTCTCCCGCCTGCTGACATGTGTCATCTCCTCCCTTTTCCACAGCGACTCCAACTTTCTGCACCTCTCCATTCATTTCTGAGGATCCACTATTTCTCTCATTCTCCACATTTTTTTCCCCATGTGCCCTGACTCCTATCTTCAACTTCACTGAACTTGGTCTGTTTGCCACGCTCTTTTGCAAACCTGCCAAGGCCGTTTTAGTTGTCATAATTTCTGGGATGAACCCTGGAAATGATGCCTTGGAGTACTCTCACTTATATCCGTACATCCATTTCTGTCCTTTTCAAGTAGACTTGTTTCTATCCAAAATGTCATTTCTTTCTGGTTGAACCTCAACAGTGGGGAGGTGGGGAGAGGGGCCCCAGAGAGAGAAGAGGCCAAGCTGGCTCCCAGTTTGAACCTTTCCCCAGGTGCCTACCTTTTGCTGCACACCTGGGCTTTTGGGAGAAGGTTTGCCCCCGGCACCATGACTGCTGTCTGCCGCGGCTCCAGAGAAAGGGGGGTGCAGGCTGGGAGGCTGGGGAGAGAAGCTTGGAGGGTGGCCCTCGTGTGCCCCTGAGTTCTGTGGAGAGGAAGAAGGACAAATGAGATGGCTGGTCCCTGCCCTGGTGTCTTATCTTTCCAAACCTCCCTAAATTCCATCACCAAGGTCTCAAATCCAGCTTTGGTCATTTCACCTCCTGCTCACAAACACTCCATGGTTTCCATACATCTACCATGGAGGGTCCCCACATCTAACCAGGGTGAGTCTTCAAAATGCTCCACGGTCAAGCATTATTCATTTCCCTCTGGGAACTTACATGTGTGCATGTTCAGTTGCTTCAGTCAGGTCTGATTCTTTACGACCCTATGGACTGTGGCCCACCAGGCTCCTCTGTGCATGGGAGTCTCCAGGCGAGAATACTGGAGTGGGTTGCTATGGCCTTCTCCAGGGGATCTTTCCAACCCAGGGATCAAACCCTCGTCTCCTGTATTATAGGTGGATTCTTTACCACTGGGCCACCAGGGAAGCCCTCTGTGAGCTTAAATTCTGCTAATCCAGCCANAGAATACTGGAGTGGGTTGCTATGGCCTTCTCCAGGGGATCTTTCCAACCCAGGGATCAAACCCTCGTCTCCTGTATTATAGGTGGATTCTTTACCACTGGGCCACCAGGGAAGCCCTCTGTGAGCTTAAATTCTGCTAATCCAGCCACAGCTTGTACATTTTGCTTATGCTTTTTTCACATGGAATGACTTTTTCTGGATTCCAGCTCCTCTTCCAGCTCCTCTTCTCAAGTCCAATGCCTTTGCAAGTCCTCGCAAACTCCTCTAGCCCTTCATGGTCGACACCCACTCCCATAAGGTTCCGTGTAGCATTTAACACCATGCCGCTCAGTGATGTTATCCTATACCGCTCTTTGTCTTTTTATTTATTTATTTCTTGTCATGGAATCATTCATGTCTTCAGAGTGCTTTGTAAGCCATCAATTACTATACAAGTGGTGGTTCCCCTGTATCCTTCACTTGAGCACCTTCTGGTCCAGAGGTATTTCAAGAGCTACTTTTACCTTTAATGCCGAGGACACCACACTGACACCTGTTGTCAATGAGGATGAGAATCATGTTAAATTTCAGCTCCTCCCAGAGGGCTGACTCAGGAGTGAGCATCCTTCATGTGAATGTGTTGCTCTGGTGGGTTCATAAAAATGTATCTGCATTACCCCGCCTCATACTCCCAGGATAGAGAATATTCAATGTGAAAGAGGCATATATTTTATTAATAGTATCAGATAATCCTTGGTTGTTGTGGCCCTGGGCAACTGGCTTCACCTCCCTGGGCCTTATTTTCCTCAGTAGTGAAGAGTAACAAATTGGAATTCGTAAGGCTATTTTGGAATTCATAAGGACCTCCCTGCTGGCTCAGGTGGTAAAGCGTCTGCCTACAATGTGGGAGACCTGGGTTGGATCCCTGGGTCGGGAAGATCCTCTGGAGAAGGAAATGGCAACCCACTCCAGTACTCTTGCCTGGAGAATCCCATGGATGGAGGAGCATGGTAGGCTGTAGTTCATAGGGTTGCAAGGAGCCAGACATGACTGAGCGACTTCACTCACTCACTCACTCAAGGCTGTTTTGACAATTAATGAGTTGCTCACATACATACGTCTTTTAAAAAATACATTGTGATTTTTTAAAAAGATCTTATTTTTATTTTTTTGACTTATTGATAGATTGATTTTGTTGCTCTGGGTATTTGTTTCAGCACATGAGATCTTCAGTGTTAGTTGTGGCATAGGGGATTTGTAGTTGCAACTTGTGGGATCTAGTTCACTGACCAGGGATCAAACCCNAAAAATACATTGTGATTTTTTAAAAAGATCTTATTTTTATTTTTTTGACTTATTGATAGATTGATTTTGTTGCTCTGAGTATTTGTTTCAGCACATGAGATCTTCAGTGTTAGTTGTGGCATAGGGGATTTGTAGTTGCAACTTGTGGGATCTAGTTCACTGACCAGGGATCAAACCCAGGCCCCCTGCACTGGCAGCATGGAGTCTCAGCCCCTGGACCACAAGGGAAGTCTCGTACATGCCCCTTAATACCTGGCATATGGCAGGGATCCAATTAATTTTTCTTCCTATTCCCTTCCTAATAACATAGATTTCAGAACCTTTGTAATTTTCTTTCTCAAAGAGGCTTAGATTTTTCTAATAATTTTTTGGTTTCATGGACAGAGGAAGTCTTGGATGCTCCCCTTGGTCTAGTCTTTGAACCAGATATTCTTCTGAGCCATCCCTACGACTCCCCTCATTCTGCTCCAGCTACACCAGCTTCTTTCTGATCCTGGACTATCCCACGCATGCTCCTAGAACAGGGCCCTTGCACTTCCGGTTCCTCCTTTGCTTATAATGCCTTCACCCCGAACACTTACAAGGTTTTCTCCTTTACCCCCTTCAAATGTCCCTGGCCCTTCCGTTTAGACTTCCAAACGTCTCATCTTCCTTGTCTGCTTTTTCTCTATAAGATGTTTCATCTTCTAATATATTAAATACTTTATTTAGATTTTTTTGTTTACTGTCTATCTCCCTATGAGAATAGGGATTTTTGTCTGGCTAACTCAACACTAATCCCCAGAGACTAGAACACAGCCTGGCACACAGTAGGTAAATATTTGCACTTTACAGACCATTACTCAGAGAGAACAGTAACTTTCCCTTTGGCCCTCTTGATGAGTTAGTTTGGCCTACAATAAAGCTTGACACCCAGGCGTGCTGGGAACAGCCCCATAAGCCAAAGCTGGACCGCAGCTTGTTTTTATAAATAAAGCTTTATCGGAACAGCCATGTGCATTCATTTACCATGTTGCCTATGGCTGCTTTTGGGTTCCAGGGATAGAGCTGAGTGGCTATGACAAAGACTGTACATTCCACAAAGAAATAACATTTATCATCTAGCTCTTCACAGCACAAGTTTGCCATCCTTGTCTCGTGAGTCTGTCCAACCATAAAGGCTTGTGGATCGTGGTGCCCGGGAGTTACTATCAGACTTCTAGCAAACCCTCCCCGTGCAAAGTTCCAAGGTCAGCTAGTTAGCAGTTGCAACTTTGCATTGCACGTTCAGGAAGAGCACGGGGCCAGTTCTTACCTGCGCAGTGCACACCTGGCCGCCGGCAGGTGAGGAGACCCTGTGTTCTTCTCCCTGGGCGCCTGCTGACGGGGGAAGGAAGTAATGGTTGTTCGGCGACGGGGGCAAACTGATGTGCTGCGGGCTTTTCACAGCGCCGAGGGGCGAATGCTGCGGTGAGCACTGCGGGCTGAGGAATGTGGAAGACAGTACGTTGGTCTGACCCGCGGGCTCTGCACAGTGAGTGCTCCCCAGGGGCAGGAGCGGAGCGTCTTCGCGAGGCGGCGGCGGCGGGCCCTCCGAGCCGGTGCTCTGTCTTTTCACGGCCGTTTGCCGGGAGGAGAACGGACAGCTGGACGCGGCGTCCTCCTGCTTGATGGGGGCGGCCGGGAAGGGCGGCGGCTTCTTGTCGGGACAGCCGCTCCTCTTGTGCTTCTGCAGCTGCAGCCTCAGCTCCTCCACCTGCCTCTGTTCCTGCTGGAGCTTCCAGGTGAGCTCGTTGATCACCTTCTGCTTCTCCACCAGCATCTTGTCCTTCTCCGAGTCTAGCCCGTCCAGCTCCGGAAGCATGGAGCCGCCGTTCAGACTGCCCATGAGGGTTTCCTCGGCGCACGCGGGGACCGGGGAGGGATGCAGGCCGAAGGATGGGGAGGCGTCGTTGAAGGTGTCCGGCAGGGACCCCGCCACCGACAGGTCAGACGAGGCGGGCGAGATCGGGGGGCTGGAGCTAGTGCTGCCGAAGTGGTAGAAGCCGTTGGACAGGGCGCCGGTGGAGGGGGAGGACTGGTAACTGGGCAGCGCGTTGCTGGGCGTCACCGGAAAGGTGACCGTCGTGATGTCACCGAAGTTGGGCACAGGGTTCCCAGAGCAGTCCTGGAAGGGCCGGAGTCGGTCCATGAGGGCTGTCTTGGTACCGGACACGGGCAAACCTCGTATTCGAAGCTGTTGTCTTAACTCAGAGACCTGAAGGAGCCAGACTGGTGTTAGGGCTGGTTAGTGACAATCTGTTTTTTTCCTAAAGTATTGTTACGGCACCTTTAAGATGTCACACATGGAATCTAACATGTCCCCGTATTTGTTTCCGATTTTGATATCATCTTGCACATTTTTAATGATTTGAAAAAAAAATCATACACCATGTTTTCACAGTCTCAGATTACAGAAACATCCAGCTTAGATGAACCACAGGGGTCATCTGGTCTACTGCTTTGCAACCCCCATCCTGGTCCTTGCTCCCACTTAACAGGTGAGAAAGCTGGTACCTGCCTGGGTTTAGACATCAACCCTTAACCAACAACACAGGACAGCCTGACATGCCAGGATCTCTGTGCCCTTGGTGAACATCCTGCTCACCCCATCTTCCCCACACCTGGCAAGAGCATTAGAGCAGAGCCATGCCCCGCTATGGGGTTCCTGATTCAGCAAGTCTGGGTTGGGCACTGGGAATCTGGGTCTTGAACAAGTTCCCGGAGGATGCTGTCAGTGCCAGGACCAGGCTTTGAGCATCATGGTTCTGCGTTACCATGAATGTCCTAATTTTAGTCACTGGCTGGATAACGGTCATATACTGAGAGAAGTGTGTGCAGAGATGAGACCATCAGTTCAAATCCTGGCCCCGCCTTCTCCCAGCTCAGTGATCGCTCTGTGAAATGGGGTGACAGTATCTCTCTTACACATTTTTGTGGGGATGGAAATGGCTTAGGACTTGTAAAGGGCTTGGAGTAGTGCCTCACAATTGTTGGTGCAAGGTGCTTGCTTTATTATTATGCGGATTCACATGTATTTATTTTAACCCCACATTTATATATATAAATGTTTGTTGCTGTTGTGTTAGTCACCTCAGTCCAACTCTTTTCGACCCCATGGACTGTAGCCCACCAAGCTCCTCTGTACATGGGATTTCCCAGGCAAGAATACTGGAGTGGGTTACCATTTCCTTCTCCAGGTGATCTTCCTGTCCCAGGGATCAAACTTGTGTTTCATGTGTTGGCAAGCGGATTCTTTACCACTGAGCCACCAGGGACGCCTATAAATATGTGTATATGTATATATATTGAAACCTTTGCTTACACATGAAAACATCTGGATTAAAAATAAGCTAAAATTCTAACAACAGTTCTCTTTATCTGTATTTCTAAAATAGCCCTCATCAGCATATTACTTTTGTAATCAAATACCTAAGTGTCAATAATTCCATACAACAGCCAGAAAATTGGTAGGGATATATTCTTCTGACATTTTGTACAAAAAGGTCTTTTTGAGTCTCAAAGCTAAGAGGCTAATAATAAAAATACTGACCACAAAACTGAAAACTATAAGTCAAAAATACTGGGAGAAAATCCAAATAGCCATCTCACTAAAAAAACCCAAAAAAACTGCAGGGTAAAAGAGTATCCAAAGGAATATCAGTGTATCCAAAGGAAAATATTGACATCCAAACTAAAACTGGGTTATGGACATGATCCAACCCTTCACAAACAAAAGATAAAATTAAAAGAAAATGGGGACTTCCCCATCAGTCCATTGGTTAAGACTTCACCTCCCAATGCAAGAGGTGTGGGTTCGATTCCTGGTTGGGAAGCTGAGATTCCACATGCCTTGTGGCCAAAACACCAAAAGATAAAACAAGCAATATTGTAACAAATTCAATAAAGACCTGAAATAAGGTTCACATCAAAAAAAAAAAATCCTTAAAAATATTAAAAGAAAAATGACCTATAACATCTGTGTACCAGCTAGTATTCCAAGAAATACATACATAGCTTTGTGTTCACCAGATGGACAAAGAAATGAATAATAACACTTTGTGTCAGTGAAGTAGCAGCAAAAATAACTGTATAAAAATGTTAAGAAAAAAAAAAGCTTTTTAAACCTTGCTATTCTGAGCGTGGCCATGGGCCCAGCAGCATCAGACAGCATCTGGGAACTTATGATGGAAATGCAGACTCTCAGGGCCCTCGCCACACCTATCGAGTCAGAATCTGCATTTGACCACGAGCCCCAGGTGGGCCGCTGGGCACATGGCACTTGAGGAGTGTTGCCCTAACACACTCCTTCTGGGAGTAGATTGGCACAAACATTCGGGACAGGAATGTGGCAAAATGGACTAAGAGCTTTCAAAAATAGTCATGTGTTTAGGTCCAAGCGTTCCACTCCTGTGTATGCAGCCTGGGGAGATAATTAGAGAAATTAAATGTGCATGCGAATTATACTTTTAATAGCAAAAATTTGGAAGCAAAAGTCCAATAGTTGGAGGTCAATGAGGTGGAGAAATGATATGCCAGTACTAAAAAGAAAGACCTTACTGAATATTAAAAGTTATGAAAAAGTCCATGATAAATAAAATAGAAAAGTATGCCAGAAGTGTATACTCACATAATTATTTTAAAACCAAACACGTTCACAAATATTTTAAGTCTGGAAGGAAATCTATAGAATCTCTGAGTCAATTGTCTTTTGAAATACTTTTTTTATACACTATCATATTTCAGTAGTGAATATATATTACCTTAAGAGTTATTTAAAAAATTATCTTAAAAGGGATTGCAATTACTTACTGTATCACAAGCAATATAATATGCTCTCAGCCCCCTAGCGTGGCTAGTATTGTCCTACCATTTTCTTTTATATTCACTGGTTTGAAAAAGTGGAAAAATGGCAACTCATTATTGTTTTAATTTAGAATTACTTAAAATTAATGAGTTCTACATTTATTTTTAGAATCTGCTCTGGCACTGAATAATTTAAACTACATTATTAAATAATGCAGCTCGTATTCTAAAATAAAATGAATACTTGTTCAGTTCACTTTAAATTTCAGACTATTATGCTGTGTAGGCTTGCTTGGCACAAAGATTTGTATTCACCTCTTTCATACACTCACTGGTGTTTTTAGTGTTGATGAATTTTTAAGCCAAACCAGCCAATCTTAAAGGAAATCAACCCTGAATATTCACTGGAAGGACTGATGCTGGAGATGAAACTCTAATACTTTGGCCACCGGATGTGAAGAGCCAACTTATTGGAAAAGACCCTGATGCTGGGAAAGGTTGAGGGCAGGAGGAGAAGGGGGCAGCAGAAGATGAGACGGTTGGATGGCATCACCAACTCAATGGACGTGAGTTTGAGCAAACTCTGGGAGATGGTGAAGGACAGGGAACCCTGGCATGCTGCTGCAGTCTGTGGCGTCACAAAGCGTCACACATGGCTGAGCCACTGAACAGCAGGCCTTCCCTGATGGCCCAGTGGCTGAGACTCTGTGCTCCCAACGCAGGGGACCTGGGCTCCATCCCTGCTCAGGGGACTAGATCCCACACTCTGCAACTAAAGATCCTGCATGCCGCCAACCAAGACCCGGCAAGGCCAAATAAACATATAAATATTTTAAAAATATTTGTTTTAAAAAACCAAAATAATGCCAAACCCTATACCTTCAGATCATCTAGGTTGGATGGGAGTGGGCCTGGCTTGAGAGAAGAGACACCAGTTTGTCCAGAAAAGCTGTTTTTGGCAGGAGACAGAGGGGTACTGCTCAACGGTGCTGAAGCAGCGTTTGGATTTCTGGCCATCTGCTCATTTGGTTCCCTGTAAAACAAACACAGAAGAGGTACTGAAAATACAGTCAAATTTATGTATGGGGATATGACATTGTGATTTATAATAGGAAATGTATATATTTGGTCTTCATCCTGGTTTCTGCACAGCTCCTAAAACCCTGGGGGTTTCCTAAGTCAGGAGAACAGGCTGTCTTTTGTTATCCTAATGAGGTGACTGTTGGAAGCCACATAAGCATGGAGGCTGGTGGCCTGGAGACTGAACCGTGAGATTAGAGAGTTGGAGTTTTCAGTCCCACCCCTGACCTTTACAGAAGAGAAACAGCTGGAGGTTGAGTTGATTCACAATGGCCAATGATCTACTCAATAATGTAACGAAGCCTCTATAAAAACCCAAAAGAATGGGGTTCGGAGAGCTTCCAGGTTTTGTAGCAGATGGAAATTTGGGGAGAGTGGTGTATCTGGAGGGACATGGATGCTCTGCCTGACTCCCATGTACCCTGCCCCGAGCCTCTCTTGCATCTGGCTGTTCCCATGAGGAGCTATGTGCTTTTACAACAGACCAGTAGTCTATTAAGTAAAATGTTTCTCTGAGTTCTGTGAGTAACTCTAGCAAATTAATTGGAACTCAAGGAAGAGGTTATTGGAACGTCCAGTTGATAGCTGGTCTGTCAGAAGGACAGGTGATAACTTGGACTTGTGACTGGTGCCCGGAGGGTGAGGGGCCAGTCTTGGGGGACTAAGCCCCAAGCTGTGAGACTGAGATCCAACCCCATCTCTGGGGCATCAGAACTGAATTGAGCTGTGGGACCCCCCACCCCACCCCAGCTGGTATCAGAGAGGTGTCTGGTGGTATGGCGAAGACTGGGTGACCTGGCCACCAGGACGCGGTGTGGGGTGGGACCTGCCTGGGGACTCTGATGGAGAAGCCACAGCCGGCCTCCATCCCCGGTGCCCCGCGCCCCCCACCCCCTGGGCTTGCCCGACTTACTTGAGTGGAGCTGCGCGCAGCCCGGGGTAGCTGAAGCGGTGCTGCTGCTGCTGGCTGAGGATCTGCAGCTGCAGAAAGAGCTGCTGCTGCTGGAGCAGCCGGGCGTAGGCGGAGTCCATGGGCGGAGGGGACTTCTCGGCCTTCTGGTCCGGGGGGATGTACTGGTGGTATTTGAGCTTCTTCACCTTCGGCTTGGGGTCCTTGGGCTTTTTGTGGCGGTTCTTGCTGTCACCCAAGGACTTGGACTGCAAAGTGGGTGGAGACACGGCATGTGCTTTTAGGTGGTGGATGGGAACGGCTTGGCGTCAGGAATATTATCTCTAGATTGTATCTGATGGATGCTCTTGGGCTCCCAACACACAATATAGCAAAGACAGGAGGCACAATGAGACGTTAGGACGTTAAGGTACCTAACAAACAAATCCATGCAAATACAACGCAAAGGACGGACACTCCTTAGCAAGGAAGTCTTGAGTCTTAGAAGTGGCTTCGGGGAACCTCCTTCCCAGAACAGAGAGGTTAAGTCTATGTGTCAGTGAGGCCAGCTTCCTAACCTAAAACCTTAATCTGATGACTAATGAAGACGACATTCTGTTCTTGGGTTAGATTCATAAGAAGGTTCTTTTAAAAAAAAAAAAGTTTGACATGGACCATTTTTAAAGTCTTTATTGAATCTGTTGCACTGTTGTTTCTCTTTTGGTTTTTTGGTCGTGAAGCATGTGGGATCTTTGCTGCCCAACCAGGGATCAGACCCACACTCCCCGCACTGAAAGGGGAAGTCCTAACCATTGCACCACCAGGGAGGTCCCAAGAAGGTTCTTTCGTCTGTCTATGTGTCATCATCTTTAGGGAAGCTCCTTGTGAGCTGACTTATTAACAACATGAAAGAAGATGAAATTAAGGCTGTCTCTAAAAACCCCAAAGGTGGATTCTTGTTGCTTCTAAATCAATTCCCCTTCCCACCAAATACTGATATAAGGTCAGGAAGTGACACCCTCTGAACTAAAGATTCTTCACTGACTATAGGAAGGACAAGTTACCCACTGAGACCTTTCCAGAAGTTACCAATCATGGTGTATGGTTTGGACCCTTGAAAAAAGTTAAGGACAGAGGCCTAGAAGTAAAGACACGTTTTTGAATGTGGTATAGTTATCCAACTTTACCACATCTCAATGACCCCGACCTGCAAGTTGGGTAAAATATTCTCTACTTTTGATCTCAGTAACCAATGGGAGGATGGTAAAGTATATTGTTGAAACAATAAGATTTCAAAGGACAGTGTGATTATATTTATAATCTGTTCCTGAAATCCAAAGACCTCCAGAGATTGAGAAGCAGTAGGTGTGTATTTCAATCAGTTAAAAAAAAATGTCCAATCCCTGACTGTATTACAGAAGATTGAAATGAACAGGGATGTGATGATGGAAGGGTCTTGATCTGAGGACAAGCTGGCGGGGGAAGATGTGGTACCAGCAGTTTCCAGAAGAGGGAGCTCCTGAATAGCCAGCAGGCAGGTTGTCACCGGGCAGCTTTCCCATTTTAACTACAAAACACACATCTGAAGGTGACCTATTGGATTTGCTTTTCTCTGACTCAGCGTGCCCGTCCACCAAAGCCTTTTGTGTGTGTGTTTTCTCAGGAAGGCTTCTTCTTGTACACTTAGCTCAAGGATTCCTATGGGCCGGGGGCCCTCCTCCCTGCTCATTCATCGATGGGTTAGTGCTCCAGGCAGTGAGTCAGCCTTCTGTTCTTGGGAGAGTTTCCCGCGAGCTCCTGCAGTCAGCTCTGCCCTGCTCCCAGTCCTCCTAGGACCTGCTTGTCTGGGGAAGCTGCAGCCTTGTGTCTAAAGCAACTAAATCAGGGGCTCAGTCATCTTCTCTATTTGTTGCCTTATTATCACAGAGACTCTCTGCATTCAAAAGGTATTGTAAATCGGACCATTTTCTCCAGATAGTGAGGAGCACAGACCACTGAACCCACGGAACTCTGAATCACTGAAACTTTTACATGGGCTGCGCTCATTTGCTCAGTCATGTCTGACTCCATACAGCCCCGTGGACTGGAGCCCGCCAGGCTTCTCTGTCCATGGGCTTCTCCAGGCAAGAATGCTGGAGTGGGTTGCCATGCCCTCCTCCAGGGGATCTTCCCAACCCAGGAGTCAAACCCACATCCCTTACATCTTCATGGGCAGGCAGGTTTTTTTTTTTCACTACTAGTGCCACATGGGAAGCACACTTGTAACTGTATTATAGTTGCATATTTCTGACAAGACTCTTCATTGAAACTGATTGTCCTTTCTCAGGACTATTACTACACTTTCTTAGTACGAAGAGGCTGAAGGCTTGGCTCATTTGCATTCAGCTAAGTTCAGTCGCTCAGTTGCATCTGACTCCTTGAGACCCCATGGACTGCAGCACGCCAGGCCTCCCTGTCCATCACCAACTCCCGGAGCTTACTCAAACTCATGTCTATCGAGTCAGTGATGCCATCCAAACATCTCATCCTCTGTTGTCCCCTTCTCCTCCTGCCTTCAATCTCTCCCAGCATCAGGGTCTTTTCCAACTCATTTGCATTAGGCAAAATTTAAACACTTCAGTAGAAATATTAATACAATTTCTCTTTGCTCCCAATGGTGGAAATCACTGAATCATATTAATGTGCTCCCAAATCAATATGTTTCCTCCCTCCACCTGTAATGAACAAAATTCACCAATAGCCACATAATTTCAAAGCTGTTGAGCTGAGTGGATTGTGAAGTGAAAGTCGCTCAGTCATGTCCGACTCTTTGTGACTCCATGGACAAGTCCATGGAATTCTCCAGGTCAGAATTCTGGAGTGGGTTCCCTTCTCCAGGAAACCTTCCCAACCCAGGGATTGAACCTAGGTCTCCTGGTGTCTCCTGCGTTGGCGGGTGGATTCTTTACCAGCTGATCCACCAGGGAAGAGTGGATTGTAGGCTGGGTTTAGGCCACTGCAGTCTGGGGAGCTTCCCTGGGAATCAGAAATGCCTGCCATCCATTCAGAACATGAAAACTAGTTTTGTGGGCTTCCTGGTGGCTCCGTGGTAAATAATCTGGCTGCCAGTGCAGGAAACACGGGTTTGATCCCTGATCCAGGAAGATCCCACAGCAACTAAGCCTGAGGACCACAGCTATTGAGCCTGTGCTCTAGAGCCTGTGAGGCACAACTACTGAAGCCCGAGCGCCGCAACTACTGAAGCCCGAGCGCCCTAGAGCCCGCGCTCTGCACCAGGAGAAGCCACAGCGATGAGAAGCCCACCCACTGCAACTAGAGAGTAGTTCCCACTCTCTGCAACTAGAGAAAAGCCCATCAGCATGATGACCGGCACAGCCATAAATAAACAAATTAAAAAAAAAAAGAAAACGACTCTTGTGTATACGCAGTGGAGGGGGTGGCAGGGCCATTACTTTAACACTGATTCTTACTCAATTTACAAGCTTTTAAAAGTATTTCTTAAGAATCATCTCAGCATTAAGTGCCAGCTTTAGAACTGAGAAAATATTAATATGCCCCCAAATCAATGAGAAGTTATTTGGGATAAAATATTATGAAAAAAAAAGTCAAATGACTACCAGTTAACTGAGAAGAAAATACTTTGTGAACTGTTAGATATGACGCTGAGAAAATTAAAACCAAACTACGCGATCCTGCTTATTCTGTGCCTCTTGCTAATATAAGCCCTCCCTTCATCTTTATGTCCACAGGGAGACTGGCTTGAATGACAGAGGTTTTACTTTAGGCAAGGCTGTCAGGCTGGCCTCCCTTGTGTAAAAGCCCCTGCTCTATACCTGTGTTAAGGCGCGTGCAAATCCTGTGTGCATTGCAGTCAGTATCTGTCTCTAGGCTAAGCTACTGGAGGTTTTCAAGTCAGGAACCTGCTGGCTGAACTGTGAGCCCGAAGAAAGGAGCGATAGATGCTTCTCTTCGGTGGGGAAGACCCCTGATGGGCAAGAGCGCCTTGGTCCACGTACACTGACGGCCCACTTCTCAACCCCTGTCTAGCGATGCTCCCAGTGGATTGAATCCATCCATCGGTCACATGACTCTCCCCGTTGCCAGACCTGACTCAGCACACCCCGCCCCACAGTGGCCCGTGAGCGGCATGCTCGGGCGGGCGTGGAGGCTGGTCCATCCTACCTTTACGGCTGTGTGCACAGGGATGGGGTTGCCCAGGGAGCCAAGCCCCTGCTTGCCCGGGTCTGGCTGGTTGCCGGGTTGTGGGGCTGAGTCACTCCTCTCATTTTCTGGATCCTGAAAATCCAAATTTGAGCCTGATTAGGATGCAGGAGTAGAAACTGTGACACGGAAATGTTGCAGTGGAGGCGCCTACCCTCACTCCCCAGGTCTGCTATGTTAATCCCAGCTTCTTATCTGAGGAAAACCTCAGGCTCTGTCCCTGGGGGTGGAGAGTCAGGTACATGATTTGTCAACCAACTGAGGACCCTTTTTAAGAGAGAAAGCAAACATGATAAACAATCATCCCATCCAACAGGTGTAGAACTGGCTTGGGCTAGGTGAACTGGGACATCTGGTCACCCTGTGGGCAGGATCCACCTACTTGCAGTCAGGTCTACATGTTGGAATTGACAGTGGGATTGAAAAAGAGAGGAAGTGGGAGGAATGAGTGGAGGAACTTTGGGGGAAAGTTAGGACAATGAAAAGGCTAGATGAGAAGGGGGTTGGCAAATGGAAGGAAAGTGTGTAGGTATTTGTGTGTACGTGTGTCTCTGTATCTGTGTATATGTCTCTGTGTATGCCTCTGTAATGTATGTGTGCATATGTGTATGTATATACATTCCTTTGCGTGTGTGTCTCTGTGTGCATACATGTGTGTCTGTGTGAATGTCTGTGTATATAAATATGTGTGTGCATGGGTGCAGCATCAGGAAGACCTTAATGAGAGGCACGTTCCCACCCGCAGAGGATGCAGAAATGAACACAGCATCCTCTTCCTCTCCCACAATCCTATGCCGTGACTTTGAGGAAAGGCCCCTGAGCTGCCCAGTCTTTGCCTGGGCACGTATCAAAGGTTTGGAGCATCCTTTTCTCTCAGAGCCCAGGCCCTCATCTATCACTTGAGGCTGCCGGGTTAACGGATGTAAAATGATTTTTGCATTTTGCCTGACACTGCTCAGTGCTCATTCACTTCTTCCCCACTTCAAGGGTGAAAAAGAAAAGTGTGTGTCTTCTTCCCAAAACATCTTTAAATCAGAAGCTGAGGAATTTACTATCAGAGAAATAAGAATACAAATGGCCCGATGTACTATTTGATGTTATCAAAGACGCTGGGCTGCAAAGAAGCTCGGGATGCAGGGAAGAAAGAATGCTTTGATTACAAACTCTTGCACAATAAGCATGCAGCTCTTTGGCTCTGCTTTTTCTGTCTTATGTCTCCTTTTCATTCCACATTTCCTCCTGGCAGCCTTGAATTTGCCCTGATGGAGTGAAGAGGGGCCTGACAATGACCGGTAACAGTGCAGTTTCAGGAGAGAGCGTCATGGTAAATAACTCCTGAAACTGTCTCTGATCCCTCCATGCTTTACAGTTTAAAAATGTTTTCAACTAATATGGGTTTAAGTACAAACATCCAGCTATACAATAAATCGGGCTTCCCTGGTAGCTCAGCAGTAAAGAATCTACTTGCAATGTAGGAGACCCAGGTTCAATCCCTGGGTTGGGAAGACCCTCTGGAAAAGGAAATGGCAACCCACTCCAATATTCTTGCCTGGAGCATTCCATGGACTGAGGAGCCTGGCAGGCTATAGTCCATGGGGTTGCAAAGAGTTGGACAGTTTGAGCTTCTAATACACACACACATACAATAAATAAATCCTGGGGGTATTATGTTCAGCATGGTGACCATAGTTAACAAGACTGCATGGTCTCTTTGAAAGTTCCTAAGAGAGTAGATTTTAAAGACTCTTATCACTAGAAAGAAAATTTGTAACTATACATGAAGATGGATGCTGACTAGAATTATCCTGGTGATCATTTCACAATATACATGATGATATATTGTATCTATCATATATATTGTGAAATACACACATAATTCACACATATATTATTATACATCACATGCATATGTTATATTTCACAATATATACAGTAGATATAATATCCAACAATTATGTCCTACATCTGATATTGTATATACTGTATACATTGTGTATTTCATGACATATATGGTATCAAACAGTTGTGGTGAACACTTTAAATTAATACAATGTTAGATGCCATTATACCTCAATTAAAAACTTAAAAGTGCACACAGATATAAAATATCTATATATAATAAAAATAAGATATAAGATATCAATATAGATAATTAAAATACATAAAATAATGCATGCTCAGTTGTTAAGCTGTGTCCAACTCTTTTTCAACCTCAGGGACTATAGCCCACCAGGCTCCTTTGTCCATGATGTTTCCCAGGCAAGAATACTGGAATGGGTTACCATTTCCTTCTCCAGGGGATCTTCCTGACCCAGGGATTAAACCCGAATCACTTTTGTCTCCTACATTGGCAGGCAGGTTCTTTACCACTGAGCTACCAGGGAAGCCCCATGTAAAATAATACATGTTAATAAAAATATGCAATACACACACACACACACACACACACACACACACATATATATATATTATCTGATTTCAAGTCATTGAACAATTCCTGTGAGGCCAAGAGGAGTGAGATCTTCCTGAAGGGAAGGGGCTGAGGGTGGAGGGTTCTCTCCAGAGCCGGGATGTGGTGGAAGATTCACATCTCGCTGTCACACGAGTGTGACCCCTCCTCTCCCTCCTGTGCGGACATTCACACTCATCTTCTCTGGGGGCTCCAGAAATACAATCCTGCCAGGCAGAGGGGAGTGCCATCAAGACTGGATGTGGCCTCTAGAGGGGATGCTCCAGAGATTGGGAGGGGGGGTAGTCTGTGGTGTTCCTGGGGCCACACATTACTCAGCCTCACCAACTCATTTCCTTCTCTGTAACATCTGACAGAAAACACCTGCAAGGTGCCTAGCACTGGTCCTGGTACATAGCTAGTGCTTAATCATGGCAGTAGCTATTGACAGCTATCATCCTGCTCTTTATAAATGTGCTTTGAATAGTATTTGCAACATATTTTTATCATGTCTGGACAGTCTGTGGATTTGTTCAGAAAGAGGGGAGTGCTATGTTTGGGTTGGGGCTGGAGGCAGCCCTTGCAGGATTTGGTGGGTGGACGCCTGCTAAAGGCGAGAGCAGCTTGGGGCTCCTGCTTTTCAGCCAATCAGTTTTTCCAGTAGTCAAGGACGGATGTGAGACTTGGATCATAAAGAAGACCAAGTGCCAAAGAATCTGCTTTCCCATTGTGGTGCTAGAGAAGACTCTTAAGAGTCTCTTGGACGGCAAGAAGGTCAAACCAGTCAATCCTAAAGTAAATAAACCCTGAATATTCATTGGAAGGACTGATTCTAAAGATGAAGCTCTAATTCTTGGTCACCTGATGTGAAGAGCCAACTCATTGGAAAAGATTCCGATGCTGGGAAAGATTGAGGGCAGGAGGACAAGCGGGCAGCAGAGGATGAGATGAATGAAATAGCATCACTGACTCAGTGGACATGAATTTGAGCAAACTCCTGGAGACAGTGAAGGACAGAGGAGTCTGGCGTGCTGCAGTCCTTGGGATCACAAAGAGTTGGATGCGACTTAGCAACTGAACAACTACCAGCAGCACCTCCTACTCCTTCTCCCCCGATCCTGCAGTGGCAGCTCAATCACAGGAAGGACTGCTGGCTTTGAAACCAGTCCTGCAGTGGCCCTTTCTCTCCAGGAGACTGTCCACTGACTGCCAAATCTTGGGGAGCCTCATTTTTACCTTGTCTGCAAAAACGGAGATAAAAGACATCTACTTAGCCAAGTAGATACTGAAAATGTAAGTTGCAGGACATATTTCCAGGGACTCTCTCTCTCTTGGTGTTTTCTGGAAGCTCCTGCCCTCACACACAGAACCCTGAACTGAACACCGTGAGAATTAGCAACAGGACGATGTGTCGTGAAGAGACATCTCTGGGTCTAAAGAAACATCTCTATGCTAAACCCACCACGGCAGCCATGATTTCAAGACTGAAGAGACGAGCAGGCTGGAAGAGGGGTTTGTTTACCTGGACTGTCCCACGAGGACCTGCCACAGGGGTCTCCGTAGCTTTTGTGTCTGGGGGGGATCCTGCTGAGCCCTGGAGGTCTTCCCCTCGAGTCTGATCCGGAGAAAGCCCATCGCTGCTGCTGTCCTCCTCAAAGGCAAATGCATCGGCCGACTTGGAGAAAGTCACCTGGTTCCCTGAGGGAGGGGAAGCCAAGACTGGGTCAGCAGACACGCTTCCAGGTGTCACCCCCATCTGGAGCACTACCTGCTGCCTTCAGAGCTCCCAGCTCAAGGAACCCAGGTCTCCAGCACTGCACGTAGATTCTTTATTACCAGAGCTACCAGGGAAGCCCAAGGTAAGAGTAAAGGTATATTTAAAATTATGTGGTCTCTCCTCTATTTACTCTGTAGAGGGGGACTTGCATTTATAAAAGTGGCATGTTTGGCAGGGAGGAATGAGTGACATACTAAAGGTCTATCATCACCTGTCAACCTTTACTTAGTGTTGATCCATTCCTGCACATTTTGTTATGTGAACCCCTATCTTTCTGAAGCTAAATCAGGGAAGATGAAGGAAAGAATATGGGTCACTGGAGGAGAAGGCCCCCTGTCTCCCTTGGGCTTTACGATCAGAGGTGAAAGTTGATGTGACAGAGTGCCATTTGCATCGTGTTCAAATACAAATCAGGCACCCAGCACGAAATGTTTTACAAACTTTGCTATTAAGGATAAGCCAGGGGAGCTCCTAAATTTAAATTTCTTAAAGTCAAAAGAGGGCTAATGTCACCAGGGTGTACTGAAGCCCCATTCAACAAACGCATATCTGTTTATAAAAAGCCATAAATGTGTCTCAGAAACTGGAGCATGATCTTTATTATTTTTTTTATTCTTTGGATTTTGTTGTTATTCCTCTTATCTTTGTGTCTATTTTGGAAATCCCCAGAGACTCGCACATGTTCAGATTCTTCCCCAGCAGCCTGTGTGGTGTCGGGAGGGGAACCCAGGCCTGGGCTTGGGAAGTGGGGTTACCAGACCAGATGGGACTGTGGTGACATCCTTGAATGTCCCTCCCATTTCTCAGTTGCCAGATCTCCTCTCTTATTATCCAAGCGCAGAGTACAAAATGTGCCGAGGCCACAGAGCCCTCCTGACCTGCTTGCAGGCACAGCTCTTGGAAAGGAATTTATGTATTATCAGCAAGTTTTCCAGTCCGGTGTTCTGCAATCACACTGACAAGAACTTTTGACTCAAGCTCTGAGCAGATAAGACAGAGGAGCTCTCACCGGTGAGATTGGAAAGAAGCTGGAAGTAATGGAACAAACGTGGTTTGGGGCTTGTCATCGCCACGGCTGCTGGCATGAGTCCCGGACCCCCACTCAGACACGCAAGCGTCAAGTCAGGAGCGAGGCCGGACACGCACAGAGCCGGTGAGAACTCCAGTTGCTGGGCAGCCTGCTAATCTGGAAAGGCTAGGGGACCAGCACTGCTGCGTCTCAGCTTCCAGGATTACTTATAAAACTCAATGTCACTTTTCTATGATTATAAAAGTGGTTTTTACTTATAAAAATTTGTACCATATGAAATGAACATAACAAGGTATATAATAATCCCACTTGTGTTAATGCTTTATTTCTTCTTCCAGATTTAATTCTATCCATATAGCAAGATACACACGGATTTAAAAAGCATTTCATTCAGTTAGGACTGGGTGAAATAGACCATTCTGAAACTTGCTTTTTTTTTTTTAATTTTTTTTTAACTCCACAGTGCTTCTTGGAGATCTTTGTATGTGAACACATAGAGATTGGCCTCAGTTTTTTGGTAACAGCTACACAGTATTCGATTGTCTTAATAGGAACTTTTAGTTTTCAACTTTTATTTCCCAAAGGGCCCTTATTTGTATCTATAAAAATTTGAAATAATGGAAACGTGCAGAGAAGAATATAAAACATCTGTTCATGTATCATCTGAAATAAATACATGCCAGTACTTTTTATATGTGCATCAGAAACCGACTCATTTTCTAACAGAGTTATTTGACAAATGTCCACTCTTTCTTTGCAATCACGAGTCACTTTTCTCTCCCATCTGGTCTCAGACTACCGCACCCTTGCCCACACCCTCTATTTTAAGGGTCCAGAGTTAGCTCATCCCCTCTCTTCTTTTCTCATAGCAAACCCTGGGCTCTGCAAATAAGCTCAATTTGTTGTTTTCACACAATGTGAAGGAATTTTTATACTGTTTTTCCTTTCTCCAGGGGATTGTGTGATCTTCCCAGGCAGGTCCTTCTGGAAGCCTCTATGAATATGCTTCCATTGTAACTCAACCTGTTAATTTCTTTACTTTAGAAACCACGCTTTCACTGGCATTTCAACTCCTACTTCTATTTGTGGAATTAAGTAAAGGCTTTGTCCTGGGACTTCCCTGGTGGTTAAGTGGCTAAGACTCTGCACTCCTAATGCAGGGGCCCTGGGTTCGATCCCTGGTCAAGGAACTAGATCCCGCGTGCCACAACTAAAAGACCTGCCACAAAGACGGGAGATCTCATGTGACACAAACAGGACACAGCACAGCCAAGGAAGTAAATAGATACATACATCTTTTTTAAGGAAGGCTTTGTCCCTGTTTAAAAGATGACATGTGTTATTCAGGGCCAGCTGGGCATAGGAGTTGGGGTTGGGTGGGTATTAAGCCTTTCTCACTGGCTTAAAGCTCAACATTAAAAAAATGAAGATCATGGTATCCAGTCCCATCACTTCATGGCAAATAGATGAGGAAACAAAGGAAACAGGGACAGACTTTATTTTGGGGGGCTCCAAAATCACTGCAGATGGTGACTGCAGCCATAAAATTAAAAGACGCTTACTCCTTGGAAGAAAAATTATGAAGAACTTAGATAGCAAATTAAAAAGCAGAGACATTACTTTGCAACAAAGGTCTGTCTAGTCAAAACTATGGTCTTTCCAGTAGTCATGTACAGATGTGAGTTGGACCATAAAGAAGGCTGAGTGCGGAAGAATCGATACTTTTGAACAGTTGGAGAAGACTCTTGAGAGTCCCTTGGACAGCAAGGAAATCAAACCAGTCAATCCTAAAGGAAATCAGTCCTAAATATTCATTGGAAGGGCTGATGCTTAAGTTGAAGCTCCAATACTTTGGGCACCTGATGCAAAGAACTGACTCATTAGAAAAGACCCTGATGCTGGGAAAGATTGAGAGCAGGAGGAGAAGGGGATGACAGAGGATGAGATGGTTGGATGGCATCACCGACTTGATGGATATGAGTTTGAGCAAGCTCTAGGAGTCGGTGATAGACCAGGGAGCCTTGTGTGCTGCAGTCCATGGGGTCACAAAGAGTCGGACACGACTGAGCAACTGAATGAACCCCAGAAATTACAGCATTTTGTTGGGGTTTACTTGGCACAGGGCCTGAGCACACACCAACTCAGAGAGCCCAGTGCTGACTGTGCCAGCCCGCGGGGGCAGTCAGCCTCCTCTGCCCAATAGGACCCTTGATGGCCAAGCTTTAGCATCTTATATTCCCTCCCCACTTCGGATCTTGTTTGTGTGATCTGACCCTTCACGAGGCAAAGAATTCACCCCCTGCTTCCCTGGCCCCCATCCCCGCCCCCCACCCCACAGAAGAGTATCACATCTGAAATTCATACAAATGAGAGTGAACTAATTAAACCACAAAGTTGTCCAAGGGTTCTAACTCATGTAGAAATATCATAAGAAGGGTGGGGATGGAAAAAGAGAGAAAATTTCTCTTACCCCCTGACTACTCCCCTTCAATGATTTTAAGTGGAAAGATAACAAATGATGAAAACAGTAGTTTGTGCGACTTCCCTCATGGTCCAGTGGCTACGACTCCATGCTCCCAATGTGGGGTCCTGGGCTTGATCCCTGGTCAGGGAACTAGGTCTCACATGCCACAATGAGAAAGATCCCTCATGCCGCAACAAAGATCGAACAGCCTGTGTGCAACTAAGGCCCAGCTCAGCCAAATAAACAAACATTAAAAAACAAACAACTCCCCCCCACCCCCACACACACATAAAAGATAGTAGCTCAGATCAGCAGTCCACTTAGCAGTGGCAGCAGTAACAGAAACGTCAACTTGTGTTTGGCTTCAGAATGGCCCAGGAAGTCGGAGTAAGGACTGCAATCTTTCATCCCTGTTTCGTAGAGGCGGTCATCACAAGGTCCAGGCTGGCCCCAGTTCTCTAGAGATTGAGCTAAGACTGCAGGTCCAGCCTTTGGATGCTCAGAAGCCCAGCAGAGGGGGTGGCAAAATCGGTTTTCCTCCAGGGAGGTTGTCAGATGTGTGTTGTTCCGGGAACATGGGTGAGGGGTGCTGATGACATAGGGATCAGCTGCGCCCCCTTTTCTGCACATGTGGGCTAAGGACAGCTCCATCCTTCATGACATCTTTTACGTGAGCTTTTGAGACCTGAGGGAATGAATGTGACTCCCTGACTGTGAAAATAAAGGAGCCAGGGGATCACGACAGTCTTGTTGCCATCGTCTCAGGGAAGGCGTGGGAGGACTGTGGGGCCCCAATGCCATGATCCTAAATCAGCATGTCCTTTCCACTCTGACCCTGTGAGTCACTCAGTCGTGTCTGACTCTTTGCGACCCCATGGGCTGTAGCCCACCAGGCTCCTCTGTCCATGGGATTCTCCAGGCAAGAATACTGGAGTGGTTTGCCAAGCCCTCCTCCAGGGGATTTTCCCGACCCAGGGATCAAACACATGTCTGTTATGTCTCCTGCATTGCAGGCAAATTCTTTACCACTAGCACCACCTGGGAAGACCAGCATGCAACAACTAATATCCAGGGCAGCCAAATTAATAAATAGGTCTTTTATAAAATCAATGAGATAGCTTTCTTACAATAAAAAAAAGCATTGAGCTTGACATATGTTTTATGTTATTCACAAGGTTCCTGACACACAAGCGTCCAATCATTTCTAGCTGTTGTTGTTGTTATTATTGGTTTTGATAGGAGTGTCTGTTTGTCTCAAGTTCACCATGATCAAAAATTGTAAAGAAGACCACCCAAGAGGCAGTTGATCCTGTGGTTAGCTGTGCAAAAGTCAGCACAACTCTGGAGCCAGGAACACTGAGAGGTTCATTCTGGGAAAGCGAAGCAGACCTTCCCCAGAGCAGGAGGGAAAGGCTGTGCACTCCCCC